GTCATACTGGTAAAAACAAAGACACGAGACGGATCAGACGCGTGCACACACACAAACCTTGCACATCCACACACACAAAGACACACACACACATGAATTCTGCCCACCATACAAAGTATATATATATATATATATATATATATATATATATATATATATATTATAAATTAACTGGCTTAAAATATGTTTTTTCGCTACACAGTAATAACCACGTTTCAAAAATGAAAGTTAAAAACTTCAAATTTAAGTTTTTTAACGTCCATTTTATCGATATATATATATATATATATATATATATATATATATATATATATATATATATATATATATATATATATATTTATTTTAATAAACAATATATATGTATGGAGAGGAGGAATATATATATATATATATATATATATATATATATATATATATATATATATATATATAAATTAACTGGCTTAAAATAAGTTTTTTCTCTACACAGTAATAACCATGTTTCAAAAATGAAAGTTGAAAACTTCAAATTTAAGTTTTTTTAGCTTCCATTTTTGAAACATGGTTATTACTGTGTAGCGAAATAAACTCTTGATAGAGCAGCCCCTGAGCGCATTCTGTTCAAGAAAAGAGACGCAACTGAGAGATGATGAGTAGATGTGTACCTACTCAAAAAGTAGAAACTTCACCCTCCAAAAGGCAGTACCTGCTCCTATTTATATCCGGGTGAGTCCATGCGTGCGTGGGTAAATTACGGCAACAGTTTTGTAGCCAATTTACATCCCTGCCGCATATGACGTTTAGATGTCGTCTACGATTCTAAATCTGTGGGTCATGGCCTCTTGCGTGAGACTGCTTCTTTCGTTTTTCTCCCCTTACTTTGGACTTAAGAGTCGGCCATTTCGATTGTTGGATCTGTTATTATCCCCTCTCTTCTCTTTCTTACTCTTTTTCTTACTCTTTTTCTTATTCTTCCTTTTCTCGAGAAAAGAGGCTGTATTTTGTGTCTTTCTTTCTTACTATTTATCTTCTCTTCCTTTTCTCGTATGAAGAGGGAGTGTGTTGTTTTTAAATCTCACCAAATTCTCACTAGTCATTTACTAATGCCTAATGAGAACTGTTAATTCACATCGAAACATGATTTTCATCTGTGTAGCGTGTTTACATTTTTCTGGTGTAATAACCTAAACTAATACGCACACACACACACATATATATATATATATATATATATATATATATATATATATATATATATATATATATATATATATATATATATATATATATATATATATATATATATATATATATATATTACAATGCTTAATTCATACAAAAACTGGACATACAGTCATCCTCAGGCATGGAAATTATTTTGTTTTTAGTAAATCCAGGTAGTATTGGAGATGAAACATTAAATGTGAATCGAATTATGTTTTTTTTTTTTTTTTTTTAATGTGTTATTGATAGCGGATAAAAACTTTTAGAGCATGCGGTCGCAACGCTAAGATTGAATTTTTTGAAAATTTAAGAGAGTGCGTTTTTTTACTAATATGGAAATTTGAGAATTTTTTTGTTGTAAGAATTTATCAGTCAATGTGGCATGAACTAATTTGTTCAATAAATAATATATCTCAGCTGTTATCCCGAAAATTAGCACGTCGGATCAGTTCTTTTAAATCAAATACGTGGTGCAGTTCAATTAATTAAATATTTTTTTTTTTTGTGAATATTTTCCGCCATTTTATATCATTAACGTTACAAACATCTTTTTTATATGAATGATTCATTGTAATATAAATTGAACTGCACCATATATTTGATATATATATATATATGAAGTGTCTAGTATAGAGAGTTCTAGAGAGACATATATAAACACTTTGTTTGAAACGCGAATGAAATTAACCCTCTGTGCATTTTACACCGTTTCCTGTCGTTTTGATTCTGGCTTTGTTTCTGTCATACACAATTGAAAAACAGACAGAAAAATAGTGATTAAACGAGTAACACAGAAAATCCTTGATCCAGGTCGTTGTGACAAACTGAATGTTTTATCTATCGCTCGCCTTGGCATTTGAAAGCCGGTATCTATTCGTATAAGCTTACCAACGCACCTCATGTACTGTAAACCAGAAGGAACGACATATTTATTTATCGATTCCTTTGTGATGATTAAATTGTTATTTTTTTTCTTTTTTAAATATAGAAAAAGGAAAAGAGTTTTATATATATATATATATATATATATATATATATATATATATATATATATATATTATAACGCATTGCTTTTGTTCACGAATCTAGAACATAGCTGTTTTGACTAGCCGAATTGGTGAAACGTTTATTTGTTGTCGGTTGGAAACTAATAACGCTTTTTCAACTACAGGAAGAAATACATTAATTGCAACTCCGTCTCTAAATGCTTGTCCGCATTTAATGTGACCAGAGAATGCTAATTACACGAGACGAGGTTGTCGTACTGCACACGAGTCTCTGCGTGCTCTAAATACAGAGCACGCAGAGACTCGTGTGCAACAGTATATGCAGAAATACGTTTACATTTACTTTACTATTTACTTTGAGCTCCTGGATAAAATCAAAATAAGATTCAGCAATATTATTGGTCCTGACCCGGCGGCTCGGCTTTAGTCATTTTCCAACGCCATAAACTTACCGCTCTGTGTCTTTTTCTATAAATACCTTCATGGTAATTGTTCGATTGAGCTCTTCATTAAGCTACCGAGAGTTTTTTTTTTTTTTTTTTTTAATTTAAGCACAGTACTAGATTGGCGTCGAGATCCGGGTTCAAATTCCGGCTCTGTCTATATGTTCAAGTTTTTAAAAAAATACCCTTAGGAATACATCTTTTATTCTTTACAATTTATAGATTAAATGTTAAGGTAGAGTACTAGACTAGCGTCGAGATCTCTTCATTTTACAGTTGATCTGGCTAGAGGTAACCGTAAATTCTATGCTAGCAGTTTCTTTTCTCGCTTGTGGAACTCCTTTCCGGCTTCAAGCTCCAATCTGAAAAAAATTAAATGCAATGTCAATCGCTATCTACTCTCCTCCTGATTACTCTTTTCTCTTCCTGCTTATTATTAAAGTTCATGTTCCTAATTCTTCCAGCCTGTAAACCCTTGTGTCTTTGCGGCTTTACTCCCTTGCATTGGATGATGTGGAATATCGGTTAGCCATTTCGTCTTGTAGATTATTACTCTTGTAGAGAGTTCGATTATCTTTATCTTCTTCCAGCTTTTGACATTGTGCCGTATTAAAATAAGAATAAATATCTGCATAAGAATATACGGGTGCGTAACGATTTAGTGGGACCCGGTTTCAAATTCCGGCTCTTTCTATATGTTCATGTTTTAAAAAAATACCCTTAGGAATACATCTTTTATTCTTTACAATTTATAGATTAAATGCTAAGTTAGAGTGGACTGGAGGCTCGGATGGTAGCCATGTTTAAAGAGGGCGACTCTGAATTCAAATTCGTGCAGAATTCAATGGGAAACTGGCCATGCCAATATACCGTTTTTTTGGGTTTTTTTTTTGTTTATCCAATATAAGTCCCAAGGGTCACTCAAAGTAGATGTTTACTTTGTGGCGATGTATTAGCGTAAGGAAGGGAAAAATAACAGGAAAGATTGGTAAGCTAATTCTAGAATTGATGAGGTCAAGATTTCATTAGCAAATAACGTTTTAGAGTTCAGGCAGAGACGTTAGGAATATAGAGTCGAAATAGACTTTAGAAGGAACTGAAAACCCAATCTTAAACAGGGAACAAAGTATAACCTGTACTCCTGCTCAAAAAGTCAGTGAACCGGACGATAGGCGAACATATAACCTCTACTCCTTTTCAAAAGGCCGGGGAGGAGTGTGAACCGGACGACAGGTAAACCTATCTACTCCTATTGCTAGAGGAAAAAAAAAAGATTTCTGAATAAAATTTCAGATTTCAGATGGAGACGAAGGAACAGGAAACCTAATCCTAAACAACAACAAAAAAGGGATTAACCTGTACTCCAGCCCCCCCCCCCAAAAAAAAATCAGGGAGGTGTATGAACCGGACGCCTACTGGGGGAGGGGGACAAATAATTAGTGAAAAATAGAATTCATGTGGAGACGTTAGAAGTATAGAGTTGTGACTTTTGGAAATAACGCTCTATGTTCCGTGCATTTTCTGTGTCGGGTATCTGTTAATCTTGCAAAAACCATTCATCCGCCGCTAGGACAGTTCATGATTTTAATCCTGCTTGGTATCAGACCACAGTCCTCACCCAGAAAACTTTGGTTGCTGAAGCGGTTTAATCACTGATGACGATACAGCAGTTAGTACTGGAATTCATTGTACCAGTGGCACACGTTGAGTGATCTGTCATACACACACACAAGCACATATACATACGTTGGACGCATTTCCTTTAAAATAGCAGGGTAGACAGGATTATTTAGCCTTGTGTGACAACCACTTGAGAACGACCATTCTTATTTCAGAACAGTGGAGAAGGAAATAGAAAACAACTTCACAATTTTCCCCAAAAAATGTCATGGCAATTAACAGACGTGGAATTTGTAGAGATCCATTATCATTACGAAATCAGATATTCTTCCTTATATAAAAACGAAATCCAACAACTATCTGGGTTAGACGCACTTTATTTTTTTTGCCGCCATAATCTTCTTTCGTTTTATTTTCCTATCTGAAACCGCCATTTTTATAATTGACTCTATTTCCTACGCACGGGTCTTGCTGATTTCTTCATATTTTTTTTTATTTTTAAATATTTTTTTCTTTCAAATTAACCACAGCATTTCTAAGTTGCAATGTTGTCATGTTTACGATATTTTCTTAGATTTCCAGTTGTTTTGAGGAATCTCGTACTGAACGAAACTTTAAGACCAAAATAAAAGTAATTAATCATCCAACTGGTTTTCACAAATTTCCTCTTACATACAGCATTATATATGGATCGCTCCAAACACCAGCATTTTAAAGCATTTCAGATTCAACTGAGAACAAAAGCAAAATCAGAAACGTACATTAATCTAGTTTATTAACAATATCTTGTCAGAGAATGTAAATTTTAACCTCTGATAAATGTTAACCCTTTGCTTTTGATAATAAACAATTGATTTTGTTAGATATAACATTTGAACCGTAAGGTTACGAGAGAAATTTTGAAATATGGAAAAGAAGTTTACGAACCTCTAGCGCATTTAAATTATTCGACCAGGAAAACCTGCCGACGAATGCCAGTTTGGGATTCAGATCGATGAGGCTTGATAAGCAAATTCCTGTATGGTGAAGAAAAACTATTTAGCTAAGAGCGCTTCCTGCATACATTGAATATCAATGTTAATCATTGTCAGTTACTCTTCCGTCCTAAAAAACGAAAAACCCTTTCATAAGCCATATCCTACATCTATCAGTGACACCTTAATTTTTTACATTTGCTTAAATAAAGGATTGGCGACGGATTTCTTCCATGGGTCAACAATTTTATCTGTCTACTATCGCATCAGATCTGTCTATATTTCTGTGATTATGTACACTATTTACATTATTCGGACTATTGTCCTCATCTTTGTCGTCATATTTATTACATCGTTTCGGCCCTTCAGTATCTGTTTATATTTCTGAGATTAGGTATTATGTACACTATTTACATTATTCGGACTATTGTCCTCATCTTTGTCGTCATATTTATTACAACGTTTCGGCCCTTCAGTATCTGTCTATATTTCTGACATGAGGTATTATGTACACTATTTACATTATTCGGACTATTGTCCTCATCTTTGTCGTCATATTTATTACAACGTTTCGGCCCTTCAGTATCTGTCTATATTTCTGACATGAGGTATTATGTACACTATTTACATTATTCGGACTATTGTCCTCATCTTTGTCGCCGTATTTATTACAACGTTTCGGCCGTTATACGCTCCAGCCTTCTTCAGGTGGTTGGCATGTCGAACTGAAGATTTTATTTCGCTCATTGAGGTAGATTCTTCTAGTTCCACGTGCCGTGTTTAATGGGTGTCAGTTATCACTCTGCAGTGTGTCCTCAAGGACATATGGCACAGTGGATAAAGACGTTGGTTAGATCCAGTGACAGGACCCAAAAGAGTGTGAGTTCATTATAAACATATTGATGGCTAATTTAGAATTCTCAGCTCTTATTATGCAAACGATTTGCTACATAATTTTTTATTTACTAACCAAATACCCGTTCTACGAAAAGCGTAAGTAAGTTGTCATAGGAATCCTCTTACCCATCTAAAATGTCTGTATGAGCAACATTTCAAGCAAGGCATCTATTTTATGTATTTACATTTGTCATTGTCCACCCACTTGAATTTCTTATTCTGGACATAGTAATATTGAGCTAACCATGACTAGAGCATATAATTAAATTATTAATGTTAATATTAATAATAAAAATAAAATTGAATACAGCAATCTTACTATTTTTCACTTATTTGAATAAGTCGGATAATTTGTGAGATCTAATTAAACAGATTATTTTTTTATTTACTTAAATAATTCCGAAACTTCCTTTAGATTAATTTGTAGAAATGCGAAATATCAGATGACAACAATGCTTATTATTACGAACGCTAAAGGTTTTCTAACTTACGACTGAATTTTAATAAGGCAATCATTTTACCAATGTTTTCAAATTGTCTTTGATATTCTTTGATCAGCGCTCAAATTTTGCAATTTTCAACTTCGAGTGTCCACCGCTCAAACAGTCTTGCTTTACTGTTGAGATGAGATCTTTCATAATGTACATGTATCAACAGAATTACTTGTATTTATTTCCAGTTAGGTAAACATGACGAATTGTTTTCCACCCTACAACCTCTTTCCAACAGACGAAAGGTTGCTAGGCTCCGGCTCTTTTATCGTTATTCCCAAGACAAATGCTCAGATGAGCTATATTTCTTACTTTCATTAGTTACTTGCTAGGACACGCACACAGCATCAAGTCAGCCTTATTCCTTTTGTACTTCTTTGGTAAGCAATAACTTTCACTCAAACTCCACTAGTTACTCCCCAGGAACAGTCACAGGAACAGACTCCCGTGCTAGTGCTTCCCCTAACAGTACAATATTAACCTTTTAACGTTTAGGTTCATAGTATATCAATCCTCTTCCCATTCAGTTCCGCGGACGAATCTATTTTCTCTCCAGCTATGGGTTATATAGTAGGAGTTGTATTTGGAAATGTTCATTTACAAAAAAGAAAAAAAAATCTAAGTATGCTTCGTCTTTAAATATCCGATAAAGTGCTGATAAGCCATAAAAAAAGTACTATTAAATCAAGCAATCATTTGCAGACACTCACTCACACACACACACACACACACACACACACACACACACACACACACACACACACACATATATATATATATATATATATATATATATATATATATATATATAAATTATTATCATATAGAATGTATCTGTGAAGACCAGAGGAAAAACAATTATTAGTCGACGCAAAGCCCTCAGAGGACGAAACGCGACGGTTATGAATAGTTTTTCGTCTTGTTCTTTTATTCACTCACACATATATACACACAACACACGCACATACACAAAATATATATGTCTGTATTAGTCTAAATATAGCTTTGGTTTTATCTTGTGATTTGAAGATTATTTTTTAACATACCTTACTATTTTTTCAGTCCATTCTTTCTTTCTTTATTTCTAATATGTTTTGCTCAACTTTTAACGTTTAAGTTTATCCCGTCATAGTGGCCAAATCCCTCCCTCTCCGTGTTTCTTCTTCTTCTTCTTCTTCTTCTTCTTCTTCTTCTTCTTCTTCTTCTTCTTCTTATCCTTCCTTTTGTCCCTCCTTGTTCACTGCTACTTTCTCTTCTTTATCTTCACCATTTCTTTGTCCACACCTCCTTTTCGCACTTATATCTTTTTTTTAATTTATTGTTTTCTCCTTTCCGTCCTCTTTCCTCTTCTCCATAATTTTTCTTACCTTTCGTTTGATTCTCATTGTATCTTTCACAAGACAATCTTTCTCCCTTTCCTCTCAACCCTTTCCTTACTTGATTTTTCACATTACATAAATAGAAAAATATATATATATATATATATATATATATATATATATATATATATAAAACTCAGCATGATATCATTACAGTTACTACCAAGGCTAAGCAAGTCGAGGACAAAAATCGATAATTTTCTAATAGAGAACAAAAGGTCAGGCTGACACAATCAACTGGTATTTATTTCGGATTGAACTTAATGTAAAGATTTATCAATAAAAAGGCTTCCATCTTGGCGTATACATGCACGACGGCAGTATACCTGTCTATATATATATATATATATATATATATATATATATACATATATATATATATATATATATATATATATATATATATATATATATATATATATATATATATATATATATACGTGTAAATACATAGGCATGCACCAAGAAAACGACATACGTATAGAGAGCAAAGTGTGTTGTCAATGTGATCCAAAGAAATACATAGATAGATAGATAGATAGATAGATAGATAATGCGATGGATAAATTGTTGTCTATATTACGCGAAAATTAAAATTACACTGACATCTCATTTTTAACTGATATATTTAGCAGAATTGCACAAAATCTATCTTGAAATACAAAAGAATAAATTTATTCAATAAAATGCCAATTGGCTTTAACCACGGCCTCTAGTCGACTAAGGAATCTCCTGTAACTATTTTGGACGGTCTCCTTGTTTAAGTTGATGACTGCTGCCATAATGCCTGCCTTCAGTTCATCTTTGCTTTTATGAGGAGTTTGATGGTCTCTCGCTCAACTGCACCCCACACATTATAATAAAGGAAGTTGCAATCTGGGGAGTTAGGTGACCAGATGTAAGGAGGGATGTAGTCGGAGAAATTGCCTGAAATCCATCATTGGGTTCTTCTCCTTGTGTGGCATGGTACAGAGTTCAGTTGCCAGACATAAGGTCATCCAGCAGCCACCCTAATGACCATGAACAGCACTACCCCCTCAAGGCACTTGGTGTAGACATCCGTGTTAAGTCTCAGGCCCTGTGTGAAGATGAATGGAGGTATAATCAGTAGTGATCTCTCTAAACGCCTTGCTCATCACCATTAGATTCATTCAACTTTTTCCCAATCCTCTGCACTCTCCACAGATTGGCATCTAAACACTCTAAAATATTCGTATTGAAGTTGCTGGTGCGAATGCCAAGCAGTACAGCATGCCGCATCCAAATTCTGGCGGGGCCAATTGCATCAGACGAGGAAAAATAACAGACAAAACTAAGATCACATATATTTTACATAGATAAATTCCCCCGTAAGGTGGGGGCTGTTCTTGTGAGTATATATATATATTTTTGTTTCTTTGAGACATTGGCTACCAGGAATCCCTTCATTGATTCTATAGGAATTATTATTATTATTATTATTATTATTATTATTATTATTATTATTATTATTTCTGCTATGGACACACTACCTACCAAGTCTGCGGAAAGACCTAAGGCAGGTCGTGGTGTGTTGTTGGCCACATTTCATGTTAATTTTTTTTTTTTTTTTTTTTTTTTATCTCCGATGAAGTTGCTAGCGTTACATAGACAAAGTTCTCCTTAGTGTGTGTGCTGTACTTAATAAGACAATTTTCTGTATGTCTCTTAAGCTGGGGTTTCAGGATTCTTTCAATGTGTTGTTTTGTTCCATTTTTATAATTCCAAGTGCACCTATTACCACTGGTATTATTCTTGTTTTCAATTTCCACATTTTTCTATTTCAATTTCCAGGTCTTTGTATTTTGATAGTTTTTCAAATTCCTTGGTTGCTATGTTACAATCCGCTGGACAAGCCATATCAATTAGTAGGCAAGTTTTTTTTTTCTTTCTGGTTTTGACAATAATGTCCGGCCTATTTGCTTCAATTTTTCTGTCTGTGTGGATGGTATAATCCCATAGAATGGTGACATCTTCTATTTCTGTAACCGGCGCTGGCCGATGTTCATTTCAGTGTTTGCTTACACATTTTCCAAAGTGTTTGCACATTGTCCAGTGTAAGTATTGCCCCACTCTATCGTGACGATTTTTATATTCATTTGGGGCAAGTATAGAACATCCTGAGATTAGATGGTCTATTGTTTCTTGGTATTTGTCACAGAACCTGCATTTTGGATCCACATCATTATGTATGATATTTGCCTGAAAATTCCTAGTGAAAAGACTCTGGTCTTGCGCTGCAAGAATAAAGCCTTCAGTTTCAGACTTTAATCCAGATGCTCGTAACCATCGATGAGTATTAACTTTATCAACATTGGGTTTATTTGCACGTTCTGGATATTATTATTATTATTATTATTATTATTATTATTATTATTATTATTATTATTATTATTGGTACGTAGCCGAGGGGTTAGAACGTTCACATTCCGACCATGAGACCCTGGTTCGAATCTCACCATGTTCGATTTGTGTGGAAGGAGACTTCCTGATGTCATCGGACTGGAGGGGTCGATCTCAGGCTGTGGCACCACTGGAAACCATATGACGGGTTGACCCAAGCCTTGTTAAATTGGGAAGACGGAACTCCTGGGTAACGTCGATAGCTGTGTTAGCACGAAGTCACAAGTCATTGTGACCGAAGGCTTGAATGTGCTGGCCTTTGTTAAATTGCTGATCACGCTAGATACCACGCTCTTTCCCAGAAACTGTAACTAAGGTCTGCTCAGCATATTTACAGTATGAACTACAAGTGGGTGTTGAATAAGAGCAAGCGTCTGCAATGGAGATTTGCAAGTTGCTGTATTAGACAGGTATCCTCGAATATTAGTGGTCAGCTATACATCATTATTATTCGACCAAAATTATAAGAAGAGAAATAGAAGTAAAAAAAAAAACATAACGGAAAGGAGAAGGAGAGAAAAGGAATTTGTACACTTAAATAATAATAAAAAAAGATTATCATTGATATTTTCATTCATGGCTAGGTATCGAGGAGGCATCAAAGATTCCATGAAGAGAGTCGATTGTCTAAAATATTTGGTACCCCTGATCTAGTCGTTCCATTTATGTCTCCAGTGAAGCGTTTCCGATGTCCATCAATTTCTACAGTTGTTTTAATAAATCCGATGCTTTTCGAAATGTTTCTTAACTTCCGGAACACCCTGTGTACTTAAGTCTAATCTACAGAAAACTTTCTATACTTGGGACCTTCATTTCTACTTTTATTGAAGTTTTTCGTCATTCTAAACACAATCAATCGATCATTCTCACTATTGAAATGCCAAAGACCTCGTGAAAGCCAACATATCGAACCCGGATGTTTCAAACTTGGCAGGTATTCAACAGCCGGAAGATTGATGCGACCCAATAAAAGTTTTCTACGTCGGAGAAAATATGCGATGGCCATTCAATGTAAATCACCTTTTTGTGTTTCGGTCAGAGAAAAAGTCAGGAAATTGTGTGCTTCTTTTTGAAGCGGTTAAGTCCATCATGTTCAAAATAGTGGTTCAATATATCTTCCCAATACACACACACACACACACACACACACACTCTTGAGGTAGAAGCTCTGACTGACACCAAATCGGTTCGGTTTCGATCCAGGCTTTCGGTTGTCTAGTCACATTGAGGAGCTGTGATACAGCGAAACAATACTGTCTGCGAATGACATTATATATATATATATATATATATATATATATATATATATATATATATACACCCTTGTGCGAATTAAATGAAACAATCACTTTAGTTTCCTTTTTTTTCACCATGCGGTCAGTTTTAGACCCACTGGAGTAACAGGGTATAATCGATTTCTATTTTTCCTCGGTTTAGGCAGGAATAAATTGAGTTGGTTGTAAAATTCATTCAAAAATATTTTGATTTCAGAAAGAAAAAGAGGGAGATCGGAGATCGGAGAAAGTGGGCACGCTAGAAATAGCTGGATATGCCATGTATTCCTGATGCGAGAGAACATATATATATATATATATATATATATATATATATATATATATATATATATGTATTAGTAAATAGAATTAAATGTTCACTTATCTTGTATCCAATCTGAGTTTGGCAGAGCTTACATCCACTTTTCAAGAGAATTTATTGCAAAATTAGACTCGACTTTTTTTTTTTAAATTGTTAATATTTATTTATTTTCATGTATCGGACTGAAGATTCGAGAAATTTTTTCAAAGAACATATGGACTCTCCGGTAGGAATATTTAGGTCGGTGTAGAGAAAATAAACAAATATACTGTTTAATAAATAAACTGTGTCTAATCAAATATGCGCATCCTCTAAAAATAACGTTTACGTAATAAAATCGTTTGGATTAATGAATAAAAATCCATCACTGCTCTAGAAATTGCGTTCTTTACTTTAGAATACGAAACTAAGCAGATATGAATGTTTCAAGCGTGTAGGAAAGATTTGCGTTTACAAGGCACTATTTAATGTGTGTGGGTTTATATATATATATATATATATATATATATATATATATATATATATATATATAGATAGATAGATAGATAGATAGATAATGAACTGGATTAAAAGATAGATAGATAGATAGATAGATAGATAGATAGATAGATAGATAGATAATGAATGGATAGAAAAGATAATGAACTGGATTAAAAGATAGATAGATAGATAGATAGATAGATAGATAATGAACTGGATTAAAAAGATAGATAGATAGATAGATAGATAGATAGATAGATAGATAGATAGATAGATAGATAGATAATGAACTGGATTAAAAAGATAGATAGATAGATAGATAGATAGATAGATAGATAGATAGATAATGAACTGGATTAAAAAGATAGATAGATAGATAGATAGATAGATAGATAGATAGATAGATAGATAGATAATGAACTGGATTAAAAAGATAGATAGATAGATAGATAGATAGATAGATAGATAGATAGATAGATAGATAGATCTGTCAAATATGGAAATTGACCTACAATTTGTTTATTTGTGCTGCTGCCTTACTATGCTAAGGTCATAAAATCGTAGTTAAAACGAACGGCTGGCACCTCTAGTTGTTATTATAGATATGCACATTATTTAAATTTTGTCTTTTTCCACGGTTTTACGAATAACGCAGTTTTATAAGGTTGTTTTTTTCCGACAGGAAGATACATGGAGACCTTCTCCTAAATTGTCTTTTTTTCTTTCTCAGGATTTCGCTTTTAGTCATTATCTTCTTCTCAGGTTTGTTTTCTTTTTGTAGAAGCCATTCTTTTCTGCTTTTATTTCTCACGTTTGTCCCAATCTCTCCATCAGCGGTTGCTTCAATTTTGTCTCACGTCGATTTTAATTCATTTTTTTTTTTTTTTTTTTTTACTTTGACTATATTATTTTAGGATTTTATTTTCTTTCTACTTTTCTCGCCTTCGTCATTCGTTCTTTATCGATCTGGCTACTGATATATATATATATATATACCAGATGCAATGAGAACGAAAATAATATATAAATTCTAACGTTCACAGCATTAATTCAAAAAAGGGCTCGATACCGATAATAGATAATAATTAATTATCATAATTTTATCATAAAAACAAAAACAGTTTACTTACTACAAAGATGCAACTTCGTTTCGGTGCATTTCAATTGCACCTCTACTTGTGTGAACCAGAAATGTTTATGAGTAATTATTTTTGTTCACACCAGTCGAGGTGCAATCGAAATGCACCGAAACGAAGTTGCATCTTTGTAGTGAGTAAACTGTTTTCGTCTATATGATAAAATTACAATATATATATATATATATATATATATATATATGTGTGTGTGTGTGTGTGTGTGTGTGTGTGCCATTATCTATCTATATATCTATCTTTTTTATTTCAAATTTGCAATATTTTTCGTGCAGATGTGCGCAATATCGGGAGCAGTTTTTTTTTGTTTTTTTTTCACCCTGTACAAGTCTCCTGGATTACAGACAGAAGCACAGTTTATGGGAATATGTGGAGAATGTAACGGTGAACCCTCGACTTGGACAGAGTAGGATTGCATTGATCAGGGAAGCATTCTCTTGGGAGTCCGTTCCACAAAGCAGGATGTTCTGGAAAGATTTTGTTCAATTTCTCACCAATAGACTATAAAGGGAATGAGAGGGGTTCTCTACATTGAGAGTCTTAGTCGCGAATTTTAGAAATATACCATACTGTTGAGATGATGTATTGATGGGGAGGGGGTCATGGTATCCGTGTTTTCTACGATTAATATACGATTAAGTTCTATTCATCACAACTACTTAATAAATTTATACTGAAACTATGTGGGGTACGTAACACTTAAAATAAGTAAATTAATGTATAAAAATTAAGCAACAATTACTAGGTAGAAATGCGTCAATACGAAATTTCCCAGCGATAGAACAAAATTAAAAATCAAGCGCTCAGCCCCTTGTTGATTTTCTTCATGTGAAATAAAATTATTTTATGTCATAGTGATATTTTAAGCGTAGGATCAGCTCACTACTAAGTGAGGATCAACTCACTACTAAGTCGCAATTGATCTAGCGAGACAAGCTTGTTAAAAATCACACCAAGATTAACTGCGCAAAAAAAACTAGCTTAGATGTGGCACAAGGTCGAACATGAAGAGAATTCAAGGTGATCGAACTTACGACTCAGTCGTACTTGATCTAGCGAGACAAGCTTGTTAACCATTACACCAAGATTAAATGCGCAAAAAATGATTTTCTAAGCGTAGCTTAGATGTGGCACAAGGCCGAATATGAGGATAATTCTAAGAGGATCGAACCCACGACTCAGTTGTACTTGATCTAGCGAGACAAGCTTGTTAAAAATCACACCAAGATTAACTGCGCAAAAAATGATTTTCTAAGCGAGGCTTAGATGTGGCACAAGGCCGAATATGAATAGAATTCAAAGATGATCGAACTCACGACTCAGTAGTACTTGATCTAGCGAGACAAGCTTGTTAACCATTACACCAAGAGTAATTGCGCAAAAAATGATTTTCTAAGCGTAGCTTAGATTTGGCACATGGCTGAAAATATGGGACACCAATTGAGGATTAAATCGCTATTCAGTCGTAATTGATCTAGCGAGATCATACACTACGTCAAAGTTTTCTTAAAAATGATTAACTATGCGTAGGTTATATGTGACACAAAGGCGATAATATGGAGAATCTAGTGAGGGTTGAACTCACTACTCAGTCGCAATTGATCTAGCGAGACAAGCTTACTAATACACTGCGTCGAAGTGACCAAGTTCTTTTTTTATTACAATGTCGGTCCATGTGCGAAATATGTGAAAATAGATATTTGCCATATTTTCTGATATATATTTATACAATATTACAATATGTTTACGTACGCGTGTACTCAACGTTTGCCTTGGTCTACATGCAGCGATATTTTTACCTATTTATCGAATTATTCGGAACAATCTATGTATAGTCTTCCAGAGCTTATCGATATATCTATTATTGTTTCCATCGATCTATCTTTATGTAAATCGATCATCAAACAATACCTCTGAATATCAATTGATCAATCAATATCAATTTTGTCCTACTATTTTCCTCTCTTTCGCTTTCTCTTTTTTTCTCCAATTATTTCTCTCCCTTTCTTTCTAAGTCCCTTCTTCTCATTTCCTTCTTTTTCCTCTCTCTTTTTCGCTCTGATTTTTTTTTCCAGTCTTTTCCTCCCTGTCCATTTCTCACTCTCTTCTCCCATTCTCTCTAAATCCCTATCACTACATTTTTCCCAGGTCTCCTTTCCTTTTCCTTCTTTGTTCGCTTCTTTTTCATTCCCTCCCTCTCAATTTTCTTCCTCTCACTACTTCTCCTTTCATTTTGCTCTGTGTTTCTTTTTCAACACCTACAACGCTCCAAAAACAGTAACTCATTTTCAATAGCATTTTCGGATACAACAATACATATATTTTCGTTGTCCTCTTATTACTAAGAGAAAAAACAAGAACAACATCTATTCTATACCTGAGGATGTCTGTAGGAACAGACGAAAGCTTGTAGTAAAAATAAGACCTAATACGGCAGAAATTTATATAAACAAGGATCATTTCATTCATAACGGATACGGAGGTTTTTGTATATTATTTGAATTGTTTGCGATGATGGATGTCTCGCCATTTAAATCATTAACCTTTGCATTAGTTTTTGTGTGAATAATTCATATATATATATATATATATATATATATATATATATATATTTGTTGAGTTTAGTAATAATTCATTTACAAATTCATTTTAGAAAAAATAAAACACTCTTACCATCTTAATTTCTCCCGTGAATGCCCTGTTAGGTATAAAATATGTTATTAGAAATTTCTTCAAGAGAGCGCATGAGAATTCATCCTCTCGTACGCTTTTCCTTAAAGAATTAAATAACGTTAAACAAACGCTTATCAATAACGGATATCCAAATCAGTTGTTGGATTTCCATATGAGACTCTTTCTATATAAGTTAGCTAATAGCAACGATAAGAATATAAACATAAACACTAGTATTAATATTTTTTTTTGTTATAAAAATCAGATGAATGATAATTTCAATGAAGATGAAAATAGACTTAAGAAAATTTAAAAAAATGAACAACACCAGTAGGTAAGAGCAAAAAAAAAAATATGAACAAATATTATTTACTAATTTAAATGTCCATTAAAGAATTGTGTTCCTGATTAATCAAAATTTCCTAAATAATTATATAGGCGACACCACAACATGTTTAGCAAGAAGACTTACGCTACATCTTTCTGACCATAGCTCAATTAGGTCTCAGTTAAATACTCATGGGGAACTACCGGACGCTATTCGCAACATACTTATTGATAATATAAATATAATAGCATCTTCTACAAGCAAAAAATGCTAAAATAATGGAATCCTTATAAAAAAACAAAAACAAAAAAAACAACAACACTCAATAATATCAACTATGAACATGAACAAAATACGTTGACAGTGTTTTGAATATAAATCATTCTATAATGCTAAACACATACACATAGCAATGCATTTCCAGTTAACAGTAAATATAGTTCGTCCTTGACAATGGCTAAATGTATAGACGAAAGCGCTTGAAAATGAAAACATCTGGCGTGTTTTTGTATAATCTAACGACGGAAAAGAAAAAAAATTATAAGACCATATGAGAAATTATATATAAAATAAACTTAATCGAAGCACCTATCATATTTAATGAAGCTTGCATGAAAGATTGGAGGCACGTTGAAATAATGGATAGCGGCTCGGATTGTGGAATCGGAGGACCGAGTTCGAATTCCAGTCGAATCTGTTATATCCAATACCCGTGAGAAAGTCTAATGGAATACTCTTCTTAAGCTATGGGTAAATATATAGCTTTTTATGACAGATTGGTCTACTGCAAAAATAAATGGCAAACTACTGCGGGAAAAAATCTGCCTCGTCAGTTATGTATCGAAAAATTCATGATCGCCTAAGCGTATATCACGCATGGCACGTAAGTGACTGCATGATGAGAAAAATTACTGCCTAAATACACAGCATATATATATATATATATATATATATATATATATATATATATATATATATATATTTGTATAATTAGGCAGCAATCCTTCCTTTATGCATGTTTCGTTAAAACGACAGACAAGGTACTACAGTTGAGCTTTTTATTTAATTTTTCTTGTGTTCTGACAAGAGCCTTCTTTTCTGGACAAAGAGTGTGTAAGAACTGTCAGAATGTTCTGTTTTTCCGAGCGCTTTCGGCTATACTTTTAGCCATTATCAAGGATGGTTCAATGATGGATATTGATTATCAAGTAGAGTGTGTGTTCTATGTATGTTCAGTGTGTGGTAGTGATGTTTTAGTTTCCGAATACAGTTAGCACATTGTGGCTTTGTTCATAATTGATATTGTTAAGAGTTTTCTTTTTTATTATTAGAGCTTCCATTATTTTTTGTCTTTTTTTGCAAGTGGATGCAGTTAATTTTTTAGTGTTTTCTACTAGTATGTTCCTAATAGTGTCGGGTAAATCTGAGTGTGTGTTTAAATGTGTTCTGATGGAACTGTG